TTTGAGTTCGACTTCACACTCGCTTATTTAACGAGTCGAGCTCGAATTCGAGCTCGGCTCGACTCGGCTCATTTTCAGGCATAAGTAGGATTGAACTTTTCATTAATTAGAAGGACAAAAAAAAAACACAACTGGATCACGTATTTCTTTTCCATTGTTCGACTTGTTGCGATCATCTTTCACTCGCTCTCTCTTTTACAATTTTTACGTGATTCTTTTTGTGGTCCGAATATCGAGAAATCTCTCTCTCTCTCTCTCTCAAGAAGCTTTTTTGGTCTCTGTGATTTTGAATGCTTTTTTTTTTTTGTTTTCGGGGTTTGAAATTTTTGGAACGAAATTAGAATGTGATGACATGAATTTGCGTGTGAAATTGCGTGCGCATGAGAATGATGAAAAATTTGGCATCTTTCGAGAATCTTTGTCCTATAAATCCACTTATTGGAAAGAACAAAAATAAAATAAAATAAAATAAACTCGAACATTCCTATAATTGAGGAATCATTGTCATATTCTCTAATGTTTTTTTTTACATTTTCACCCTTAAGGAAATAAAATATATTTATAAAAAAATAAAAAATAAAGGAAGAAGTTGCAGTTACTAATTTAAACACGCGACATGGCATGAGAGAGAGAGAGAGAGAGAGAGAGAGAGAGAGAGAGAGAGAGAGAGAGAAGCTTTATTGGGGAAATGAACATAACTAACATCAATGTTGATTTATTTTTACTTTTATTTTATTTTTATTTTGAAGAGAATTGTATTTTTTGGAGGAAAATCAGATGTCTGGTCAAAAAAGTGAGAATGACGTGGATTTTGTTAGAGAGTAAAAATTTTGTTGTGAGTCCTATAAAGTGGCACCAAATTAGTTTTGTGTTCAAAAACTAACTGAAATTGTATCTATTTGATTGAAAAGTGTGAATGTTGCCTAACAACTTCCTAACCAATGTTTTGTCTAGTTACATATATATATACATATAGAGTTGTAAACGAGTCGAGCTGATGAGGTCTAGTATTAATGAGCTGGATTCTAGACTTGATGAGCTTTAACTATGCGTGCTTTAAACGAATCAAGCTCATCTAATTAATCAAACGAGTTAACGAACCGAGACAACTGAGTTCACGAGCAACTCGTTTCATTTCACAGTAAAATGAAATTAACGGATTATACGGTTTCAAGTGTGATTTAGTCACAAGTAGTTGGGCGATAATATTTATTCTGATCTCATGAGCGACTTGTTTGTGTGACAGTTCTACCAAGTGTTTGGTAAAAAGATATTAAAGGATTATGAGATTTCAAGTCTGATTCAATCACAATAAGTTGTGTGATAATATTTATTTTCTCTATATAAAACTTAAATGTTACAACAATATTACATTCAAAATAATTTATCTATCACTAATTATCAAATATAGGTACATGACTTGTTACTGTTGTTAGAATCATAAAAACCATCACACTAATTACAAACTCAACGTTTTTTTTTCCAACAAACAACACCCTAGTAGTTGGGGGTTAAGGCCAAACCTCCAACCTGTATATAAAGTCCCTAAACGGGCTGAATGATTCACAAATACATAGGAATAATCAACGTTAAATATGGAGAACTTTCAAAGGAATAATCACTTAATATATCATTAGCCACTCGTTTTCATGACGAATATTGACATCCGATATCATATTATATTCCTCGTAATAAGTACAAGACTTAAGAATACAATTTCAAATTCATGATTCATCAATGCCAATCAATTACTTCTAGTCTCCTATATATATACTTCTACAAGATCATGATAATGTTCTTAATTAAGATTCTTATTTAAAAGTACCTCTCATAACTTATGTGTGTGGCTACATAAGCACAATTAAACATAGCCAATCTTATTACACTAACTAAACAAGATCATTAATTGTACTCATAAAGAAAGATATATAGCAAATTAAAGCAAAAAAAAATGGCAACTAGCAAGAGATATTATGTTTAGTATTCCATCATATCATATGATATATCTTTCCACAACATCCCTTTGAAACAAGTAATAAATCTCATTACTAATAACATGAAGAACCAAAACACTACAAGAGGAGAAAGAAAAAAAAAAAA